TCTCTTATTATTATAAAAAGCTATTTAATGGTATTAACGAGGACATTGATGAAGAATTACAAGAAAGAAATAACCTACAGAGATAGAACTCTCTTAATGTCTGCAAAAATAGAACCCTCGTGGTTGTGGATAAAGCCTATATCAGAATTAAATTCTTTGGCTGTCCACTTGTCTGGCTTAAAATATTGTATTTATTTGGCATGTATTATATCATTCTATTAAAAGCTATTTATAAACGGATTACGAATAGAATCTTTACCAAGCAACCAATAAGAACGAAGTCATAGCTGCTCCCTACTTCTTTCTAATGGCCAAGGCTTTTGATCGGACGTTCTGGATATCGGTCATTAGGCAGGTTTCCAACGATCTATGGTTTGCTTATTCTAACGTCTGTCAAAATTGGATCATTCCGCTAACACTTTCGCTCATCCCGTTCAACATTTCCCTCATGTCATCACCAGCAAGCAGTCCGACTGCCGTCGCGGCAACTGCTCCTACTGCAAACCCACCTGCCGTCCAATATAATCTCCTCTTTTTTGATTGTGATGGTTGTAAAAATTGCTCTGACTCATCTATTTTTTGTTTAAGTATTGTGATTTGGTTTTTATATTCTGCTTGACTTGATACGTCGGCCTGTTCTGCCATTGATCGATGATTGCATGGTTTTTTTTCATAATTCGTGTTGGACTGAGGCTCACCATTTGGAATAATTGGATCCGGTGGAGGCATTGCGTTTTGAGTATTTTGAGAGTCCTTCTCCCTCGTGTATAAGGACTGGTGTGTTGTTGGGTGTTCAGAAATGCAAGCGGGGAGAATGAGGATGAATGGAGAAATGGTAAAACGTTATGAATTACCGTGTGAGTAAATACGTTAAATGAACAAGGATAAATTACCAAGCAGTTGAGAGTGGTTTAAACCATGCACGCGTCTTTTGTCTTCGTCTACAGTATTATACAAATATGTCTCATGCATCTTGTTCAATTATCAGCTTTTCGTACCTTGTCTTTTGGTTTATTTTTTGGCGAATCGAACCAACTGTTCTCTGTCTCCAAAAGTTCTGCAACGAGGTCGTATATATCATATCTGCGGGCTATTTCTTTTGCTAAATATGAAATAATTTATGATGGCATTAATCTGATGTAAATCTATGTCTTATTTATATTAATAGTACTAATAAGGGACTGTTGATATGATTATTGCTTCTTCTACCTTTCTCCAGCGAGATCCTAGTCAAGCGAGATCAGTAAATGGTATTAATATGAGTGAAAACTAACCATTTACACGTATAAAACGATATTAACCCATCGATCCTGTTGGTTCCAACAGCATCAACGGATTTCGTTTCTCAAAATGAAATCAGATCACCCCCAACTTCTCTACTCACCAAACGCCCTCGAACCATCCTTCATTCACGACTCGTATTTGGCCAATTTCTTTCTTCAGCTTTTCCAGTTCACGTCGCCATGTTGCTTCGTCTGCGTCTTTAGGATATTTAATACGTAACATATAATATAAATTGACTTCGTCCGTGTCCTGTCTCCGCCACACGTCGTATTCATCTTCGTCGAACCGCAGAGTAACTTCAAGGATAGGAACCGTATTTACAAAGTGTCTATTGACTGCGTTTAGATAAGACTGTACTCGTCGTACTTTCCTTGGTGATTGCCGAGTTGGAGTAACAGAAGTGCGTTTCGGTCTGCCACGCGATGGTCTTGGATTAGACATGAGTAACCACTTGTAAATTTTTGCCGAGATAAAGTTTGGCGATTTAAGGTTGAAAAGAAATATTTTTTAAAAGAAAGGGGGAGAAGTCACATCCCTAACAGATCGTTGTTTACGACTTAATCCCGGATGAAATCTAGTTTGTGATTGGACATTGATGATGATGTCATCAAATGGGCGCACCAGCACTAGAAATTGTAATATGTTACACATAATTTTTGACAATGACCGTATTAAAATATCTATAGAAATAGTAATAAAATAAAAATGACTGGTAGAACTTGAAAGTGACGTGGTTTACCTACACTTATGTCAATTTTTAATAGCTGTGAAAGAGCAGTGACATTATATCCCTTGGGAAATAAAGCTAATGTATTAGATGGTTTGATTACATTCTACGTTTTGTATGTTTCTTATTACAAATCAAATTTCGTACGCTCACTAAACTTTATTTTCATTAGCAAGTAGTTCGTGCATATAAATATGATTTTACTCTGACAAACACGAAATATTATTCGACACTGACGTCTTGTCACGTGTACTAGTTGTGACAATATATATGTGAGAAAAAAACTGTTGATTCAATTTCAAAATTCAAATATTTTCAGCCTGTAATTTCCCGAGATCAACAACCAGGCGGTGAGATTCGATGCATAGTATTGCCCAATAAACGTCTGAATACCATCAATGCTGAGCAGCAGCCACTGTTTTGTTCCTAATGTTTGGATTTCTTTCTTGATATTTTACTGTCAATCTTCGTTTTTTTGTCATTTTATGCAATCCTCCGACGCACAATTGGGGTTTTCGTTTACTATTATTATGAAATCGCAAACGTTATCTACTTTCGACTGACGAGATTTTTACAATTAAAGGGTGGTATTTAATATGGGCATTTCTATGCAATAATTTTATAAAATTACGGATAATCAAGGTAAGTTTATTATTAATTAACCGGACAGAATTGTCTTTAAGTATAACGAGAGATTTGGATTAACAAAAAAAAGTTAAGGAGTTGACTGTGTGTTAATATCAACATTTTTGTATTTCTTTCCAACAAGTTTTATTCGCTTTAACTGCTATAATTAGCGGTAATTGTTACTTTACGTATTTTGCCTTCGTATTGGGATGCATTTCCATATTTTTGAATAAGAAAGAATCTTTAAAATTTCTACCCATTACTAATGTTAAGGTGTGTTTTACCATGCTAACTCAACATTAAGTCTAGTAACAATAATTATATACTTTATTCTCCTTTATTTCTGATAATAATAAAAAAATAATATTTCGCACACTATAACAAATCTACACTACAAATACTGACCAAAAGTGTTTGATCACTCCCCGAAATTTATCTAACAGAAAATAGTAAAAATTTAAATGATTCTGTTATGAAAAAAGTAGCAATATTTATAAATTTTTTATTTAAAATTATTATAACAATAATGTATTTGTATAGGCCAATATACACTCCTTGACAAAGTTAATTCTATGATTTTGGGCTCAACAAGCCAATGAATAATTGATAAAATATTAAATGTGTTAAAGGTCTAGCGCTAATATTACACGATTGTAATCTACACAGTTAGCACGGATATACCTGGATATAATATATAACGATGTTTTTTTTATGCTCCGAATTTTGTTTAATAAAATTTCCTGGATATAACGAAAACCTGCTATAACGAAGAAAACGGGCGGAACGGATGCACTCTATTATATCCAGGTTCATTGTGTATTAAAATTCTATAGTAAAAAAAAAACTAACTTTTGGACCGCTTAGTTTATTTAAATAGCGCGCCTAATAACCAGAATAATAAATTAGTAAAATTTCAATTTTTCGCGTTGCACACTTTTATTGAAACCGTTTTACTGAAGTAAATGTCAATATTTAGTATTTCCTTCATTCACAGTTTGAATTTGGTTGGGCATGATAGTAACAAATTATGGTATATGTTTCGTGGACGCGGATTTTAATCTTCATTTACTATCATGTTTTATAATAGTAAGTTTGTGCGATTGCATCTACTGGTGATTATGAAGAATAAACTCCTTAGCGAGATTCATTTATGCGTTAAAGCGAAAAAAAAAAGTAAGTTTTATTCTTCTCATCATGAACGCTAGTTAAATAAACGTTTAGACAACTAATGCGCTAAGTGGTCCAAAGTGTAGTTTAAATAAATTATTACCGTGCAACACAGTAAACCTTTCCCAAATCGTAGATTCGCCGTTTATAAGGACAAGATTTGCTTCGCCCGAGGTGGACTATGATGAGAGCTGACAGCACATTTCTCACCTACCCTCTTGTACATGCAAGATTGGGGCAATCTAAATTCATTGAGAGAAACCTTGCATTGTTAAACGGACTAGTTTATTAAAAAGCGACTGGGAACGATTGTAAGGAAACTCTTAAAAAGACGTGTCGAATTACTCAGCCTTTTATAGTTAATACATTCTTTGATTTAAAGACTATTGTTTGTTGTTGTTCTAACGACAGTATTATTATTATTGTGCGCCGTTGGTTAAATAACCGCTTATACTTACGGAAGTTAAAGTAACATCCAGCCATAAATTAAGCGAACGCCAGAGCATCAGACTGGACAATTCACGTATCGGTACGATATTTTATTTTGATAGTTGACGCTCGAGCTTTCATACCTTAGTCATAAAGGATGCTTTCAAGAGTTATGTTATCACAGTATTAGTATGTATACTGCAGTATGTCTTGGAGTTATCATCTGTAAGAACCTGAAGCCATAAGGAAGTCAGCGTTATATAACATCGAGATCGGAGGAGAGTGGGGTTAATGACAGCAGTTGGAGAAGTTGTTTATTACTATAAATGCTTTTTAATATTCTCAAGTACTATAATTGTTTATTATCATCGTATAGCTCTTACTTTGCTGATGTAAGAATAACCCATGGCGTTGACAAGAGGCATATAATTAACCACCAGTTTAGTTCAGAAGAGTTGTAAAGATCAGATTTATTAAAATGAATTTTAATTATAATAACAAGAGCGTATTAGTCCCTCATTGTCAATAGGTTTCTCATGCTCATGGACCGAGACTAATCCGTTGTAGTCTGTTCCGGAATCAACAATATCACATCAATAAAAGTAAACGTGGGAAATCCACGAGAGTACCTTAAATCCGACGTCTTGAACATTCACGCGAAATTATACAACGAATCGGCAAATATTGTGCATGGTAGTTAGGGAAAAGACGGTCTGTGTGTTAACGAAAAACAACCATTAGCCATTTTATATCGAAAAGTCGATAAAATAATCTACTTCCTATATTAAATCGGTAAAGTTGATACTTGACATACAATATCAGAATAAAAGACATGTAAACCGTTCAAGTTGTAAAAATAATCGTTCGGCAAATGTTATGTGTAGTCAGAGAAGATTGAACGGCAATAAAGAAATAGAAAATCTTACTTGAAAATTGATCCAACTCTATTGTCACTTGCAATAAATTGATTATTTGACGAGCTTGGAGAAACGGCGAATGACTGGAAGAGCATGTAAAACTTGGAGAAATCATACAAGAGTTATGCGGAGAAGGATGCTAAACAATAAATATAGCAATGTCGAAAAACTGATTAGTATTAAAGGAGGAGGAATAAGTACTATTACCAATAGACACGTTCTTACCGGAATTTGAGTAATGAAGCGAAAACGTTACTTAAGCTGCTATAATAAATAGTTTAAATTTTTCCGTATCGCACGAACGAGTGTTTGTAAAAAATAATGTCGAAATAACTTCAGAATCATTTAAACTATTGTTTCTTTTGACATCAGTGCTGATATGTCGATGCACACGTTGACAACTTGCTAACCACACCGCTTGAACCGACGAACGTGTTCCACGACATGGATGATATAGGCTCATAGACTATAACGTACGTTATCAACATGTCAATGCGGAACCTCTTTCTAACAAGTCAACACACGACTCGGACATGACAAGTGAGCGTCGTCACGAGAGAAAGCCGGCAGTTTGCACTCTGAGTGACAAGTAATGGCGGGAGTGGGTAGTCGGCAAGATCTCGAAAGAATCTGTCATTGCTTGAATAGCGGAAACAATCGCGTAAGGTCGCAAGTACTGAATGTAGACAAAGAAATAAAATGGACAATACAAGCCGTAAGCTGCTATTAGATGAACGAAAATGGAATATTTTATTGATTTCAAATTCCCTAGCTGCTCTTTTTCTTCTTCTGCTACGAGTGAATACTCGTGCTCATATGTCCGCATACCAAACACTATTTGGTATATGCTCAAAACATGCTGACCCTGGATATGGCGTAAGAACGCTGGTGCCCGACTCTTTGATGGGTCACGCTCTATCAACAAGTGAAACACTTGCAAAACAGACTATCCTAAAGTGAACAGGAAGCTAGTTCAAATTCATCAAGAAGGCATGCACAAATGCAAAAAAAAAAAAAAAAGAAATGTCAGTTATGATTAATAGATAACCACCAAAACCAGTATTTGTTTCAGAAGATTCTAAATAAAATTCTATTTTATTCGCCTACGTACGTCTATAGTAAGGATCTCAGCACAATGTCCATCCAATTGATTGCTCACGCTCTCACAAACTTCTGTTTTTTCCTAGAAGCGCAGAATTCGAATGCAGCACGCAAGGTTCGGCAACGCCCTCGTCAGGAAAGGAAAGGGCTGAAGGGGGAAAAGGGTATCGTGAATGAAAGAGATGATAATTAGCTGCTCGATAATTAGCCACTCTTCCTTATCAAGCGTCATAGACCGTCTGGAAGCACCAGTAACTGTATGCATGTTAGACTATAAAATAACATAACAATAAAAATATTAATATAAACATAATTGATACTGCTAAACATTGTGAAATGATAATGCATATACGTGCGTTATAGCAATTATGTAATTGAATGACATGACTGCAGGCTCCGACATATCACATCAATTTAATTGATCGATTGCCGTTTCTAAAACAGAGACCTAAGATGGCAAATTACTTATTTCGTTGGACGTGATGCGATATGCACAAGCTGCATACCATACAGATAATCTCTTTGACTTGCTGACTAAAGATCAGTTGATAAGTAATACCTACCGTTGTCCTTTGATTCGTACATATTCGCCCCCAACAACAGGTGCGGGCGGGGCATAGCGATCTACAACAAGTCTGTCGTTGTTAATATTGTTGTTGCGAGCGCTTGAACGTTTGGTTACATTATAATTGATAGTATATTGTATGATAATAAAGGCTCGTTATTGCAAGTGTAAACTTTACACTCACCTACGTAAACTACGGGTACAGTAACGCTTTTAAGAAATCCATAGAGAGTTTCACTATAGAACATTATGTGGGAAAGAGAAAGTGTGCCATTATCAAGTCGGCGAAAATCAGCATAGTTTAATAATCATATTAATAAACTTACATAGTGACTATCAGGAAAACAAGTGTTGAATCACATGTGAGGTAACCTCGTCAACGTCACCTGTTGAATAATGCGTTCCTCGAGTTCAAACATTGACTGTGAAAGATGAATCTGGAGAATTTTTTCGTTATTTTGATTAATATCACGTGGGGAATGTCTTTTTTTTTTTCTTGATGACAAATCTTATATGGATTGTGAATGTGAGTACTACCTTCTGATGCAGCGGGGATTCGGATAATGTGTGTGTGCAGCTGATCGTCTATTCAGATATACTATTTCGCCCCATCTCTTATTTTGTGATCCTCAAAGTGTTCCATCAATCATTATAATCATTCCTACAAAACGGGTTATAGCAATACTGTTTCTTGTTCCCCCCTCCCTGACCAATCCATTCATTCAAATCAATCACACAAACCTTAACCTTACTTAGTGACCAATGTTTAAACCTTATGTCTGCCATACACACCCCCCGATTACTCGAACACCCTAATTCTACAGCATTCCGTATTTTACAATGCAGGTGCGACCGGAAAATCTGTTCCAAACATCAGTCCGAATACATTAGACAATTGTACGAGTAATTAATGTCGGGAATAATGACAATATTGTTGATATTATGATGCTGACAATGTTTGTAACAACAATGTCATTGTTAATTTACGGTTTCCAATAAAACTCAGGTCCTGAATGATCATAAGCTGTTTTCCGGTGCTTAGTTATGATGAAAAGCTGTTACCGTATATGGTTATCAAGGATCGCCTGATCTTCGTATACCAACAGAAAATATACACTCTGCAGGAAGTAAGCCGTGGATTTGGGTCTTTAGGTGTGTATGCGCAGAAATTGGACCAAGATTCTAGGGTGAGTGGAATACAGATGAGGGGACAGTTAGATAATCTGACTCTGGATAAATCACTGTGATATAGAGAAGGGAGAAAAAGAGATATGTAATGCATCAATATATATATGTATGTATGTATGAATGTGTGAATATGTAATCAAAAATGTAAACCTTGTTTGAGATCCGGCGACAATGTTTGATGATTGTTTCTTTAACTGATGCATCTGGTGACCATAAAATGAACCGATTAGCAAGATGCATTCACAGTGACCATTCTTTAAACTCATTCTCAACCTTTTAATGAGAATCTCACATTGACCATACCGTTAAATATAGAACCACCCGGTCGATATCACGTGGTCTATCGCAATGGCCCGTGATTATTCATTGTTATCATGTGATAGCTCTCTCGTTCTTTGAGCCGTTTTAGGAGGTTGGGGAGAGAAAAGCGTAAATGATAGAGTGGGACATAGAGGGGGGAAAAAGAGCGGTTTCTTTATGAGCCCATCAAAATCGACAGTCGAGTACTAGTCGCGTCATAGGGTATGAGTTCTTTGAGGGATAATGTGATGGTGATTTATCATCAGCGATACTTTTTGTTTTCCAAGGCGTTTCAAGCGTTCTCACATTCCTTTCCTTTTTTTTATTATTATTTTATCACAAAATAGTATAGATAATTACGAGTAAAACACAGAGTCATCAAAAGATGAATACAAAACAGTAATGCAAATATGATGTTTATACGAATGACGACTTAATGTATCTTTTGCAAGTTCACGAACCTTGGCCACTCACTCTTCAACAGATCGTCTCTCACATAATCACGGAAAAAACCAGTCTCACCAATCTCGTCAAAAAAAACCCTCAATCTACCACATCCCCACATCTCCTCTTTTCTCTTTTTGGAGCATGTCACTGTTACTTGAAAAGTTTTTTTTTTCCTCTTGCTTCTTTGACCCCTTAGTGATGCATCACGTGTGTTATCAATAGTCAAGAAGAGCGAGGATGGTAAGGTTCATTTATTATATATATTGCAGGTCCATGTATAGAATGGGAATATGTAACATGTAGACGATACATTCGGCATTTCAAATGTAAGACCGAGTTTACAAAAAATTGAGTTTGATCGAATAAATTGAAATGATCGACTAGAGATTTTTATAGATTTCTCGGTTGAATATATTTATTAATTTAATTTTTTTTACGCTTTTGCCTTTTTGTCTTTTTGTCTTTTCTGTCTTTGCCTTTGATGATTAATCAGGAACAAAGATCAGAGCAAAGATAGTATAATTTCGATCACGAAATCTGTGCAATTTCTTTTTTCCTCTCGCCACACTTATTCGTCATATTTGTTTGTTTATCCATTGTTTTGTATTTCGTGCGGTACGACTTGATAGATTTTTCCAAACTCGATGGGAAGCCGGAAACCAAAATAATCTTATGAGATGGCATGCTCTTTCCTTTCGGGGGTAATTGTTATTATGTTCTTATTCGTTTTGATCCACAAAGGTAATCTTGTGTAGTATTGTTCGAAATCGGGCGATCCCTCTGCTGGAACGGAATTTTGCGTAATGTTTCATCATGGGCGTGTGGGGATCGCGCCGCTCTTTGTAATTGGAATTCGATGGGATTAATTGGGAAATAAGCAGGATTGACAGTGCAAGCTTTTTTGCCTTGCCTAGCAAATCCATCAGGTGGTCTAGGCTGTCGATGCATATAATAATGTATGTATTAGATTAGTCATATAGTTATATATTCAGTATTATTCGTCATACCCATTCGAATTTCTAGCATGCTTGTGTAGGACCCCTTGTCATAGATGCATCAACATGCGACGTTTCTTTGTTGTATATTGGGCGTAAGTGTTGATAAAAGTATGCGCAAAAGCAGACATTCTGGATAAGCGTAAATTAGGCTCCAATGTCAAGTACCCACAAGCCACTCTGCCATTGTGAATATATATTATCGAGTGACATTCAAGGATCCAATAAAATAATTACCACCATTGTACCGGGTACAATAAAGTCGGTCTCGTTGGATTGAGAATACAAACGGAACATTCTCTCCCCGTGGGAAAATGAACCATATCCCGAACTGGAGGGGGGAGGAGGGGAGGGCGCTGATAGGGTGTGCGAAGAAAGGGAGAGTCCTTTAAGCAAATATCACAAACTGCAGGGGAAAAAAATTTTTTTTCACTCTTTTTTTTTTTTTCCTTTTTTTTTCTGTCCTCTCTCTCTCTCTCTCTTTTCTATTTGTTGTTGCAACAATCCGACTTCTTTTCTTCTTTACGAGAATGAACTGGGTGGCTTGGCGTAGCGAAGATACAAAAATGCTGTGATGCGCATTTGTACCTCGCTAGTGTCCGATGTGTCGGCTCGTGTGGATTTATTCAGATTGATGCAGCAAGAAAAAGCAAGAACTGAACGAAAGGACAATACGAAAAAATTAGTATGATTAAAAGTGGTACATAAACACAAAAAGTATTAGGGACATATGACGAGAGAATGAGACGTTTGTTGGGTGAACAAGAGGAAATGTATCTTTGTGATGAATGCGTATCTGTGTTTCGTGAGTTCACAATGTAATAAATAATTTTGCATGGATATATAACAATTGTGTATTAATGTATATTGATCATTATGGCAAAGTATAGGTAGCTATACGACAATTTTGTTACATTACTATTATTACTATTATTAATACTTTTGTTGTCGTTGTGTAATGAGATGGTGCAAGAGTGAACAACTATGATGGAATTCAATAAACAAGTGAAATCATGTATCCAGCGAATGTCTCATAAATTACAGACTTGTTCTAAAATGCCGACATTGGCAAGTAATGGGAAAAGAGTGAATGGGGGAACAGGGATGTGATATGTATATTACGATTGGTTATAGATTACTGATGATTGTGATAAAGTGAACAATTTGAGTATGTAATCAAGCGATACGATAAATTAACTGATAAATTTATGGTACTTCAAATGCTGAGCGAATATATTACGATTGAATTGATTACAGTTAATTATATTGATATACTAAATATTTATCCTATATAATAAATCTTATATTACACATATTCAAAGTACTGCATCCGAATCTGCAAAGTCGATTCCATAATTCGAATTCAATATATTGTGGTTCAATCGGCATCAATTGAATCCGCGAAACGTCGTCATCGTATGCTGCAAGCCGACGGCTAAAGTCGCATGTAAAACTTGGCTCTTTTCCCGTCTGTTTCCCATCTTCTCTTCTTTTTGCTCCAAGCCCATTTCCATCCCCATCCACCCCCTCCACCCTCTTAAACCGCTAGTTGAATTACAACTATACCATTGTTATCTGACTAAAATACACGTGCTCATGATACAACCACTAATTCAAATTATCTCGTACGAGCTAACACTAATGCTATTGGAACAATGATGGGCAAAAGACTTACCAATACACAACATATATCACCCCACACACAACCTCCCCCCTCCGCATACAGACGCCAAAAAAAAAAGCCGTTATCACTATATTCGGACATCATTTAAACACATTTCATCTTATTTAGAATACTTAATAACATATTATATTTATCTGCTCACCTATTCAAAACAAACATATCCATCTATCTTTATTCCTTATCTAACAATAGCACGGATTTCCTTGTATTCCTCTACTCCTTTAACACACACCCCCCATCTCTCTCCCACTAAATACCGTTTGAAGTGTTTGACAGGTATTTATGATGAATGATTACTGTAAAACACAATTCAATAACTACCATTACTACCCATACACATCAAGTTAACTTACCTCATGTTGTGTACTTGCCTCCCTCCCAAATAAAACAATTCGACAACGCATCTTCTCAATCTTTGTATCCCTCCACACAGAATATCCTTAGCATAACCTTCCTCATTGGGGTACCGTGAGATTGGATACTAAATTTTTAAGTTACTCAATAATGAAACATTTTTCTTAACCTATCTTTATTAACAAGGCCTCCCCGATCATCTCTATATTTGTGATATACACATTCAGCTTCTAATAAGCCCAAAGTGACATCATTGTCAACTCTATCTTTTTTTTTTTTTTCAGAAAAAACTGTGAATCACGTGTATGACCTCTTTTGCGCATGACTTATAAAATGAAAAACAATGAGCACCCCCCCAATTTCTTTCTCCATCGCTTTGTGCTGTTTTTTCCCTTTCAGTCCTCTGCTTTATCAAAGTGTGTGTCTTTGCTTCTGACATCACTGAAGGAATTAGCTCCTGGTCACTATCTTCACGCCCACGCCAAACCCTTAGTTCTCCCCTTCTGGCGTTATGCACACGGCCTGTCCCTTACTTCAATAGAAAAGTTGCCTTTTGGAAGATCAATACTTTCTTTCGTCTAACACATTAAACAACTCATTACTCATGTCGCATGATATTAATAACATCGAGGGCAGGCACAGACTCGGTCCGAACTTGCAAGTTCATACAAGTCACAACGACGACAACTCGACTACTCAAACTTCCAACTGGCTGAAACTAGTGCTCAACGACCAAGAAGTAAATCCGTCGTTTAGTTTATGGAATTCCTATCCTGAAGATCAAAAACTACATAGTAAGCCGCCCTCTTATGATAGACAACTTCATTCTCCCCTCGTTTTTAAGACTTTCAGTCCGGGAAGCGGCGAATCTTCTCGTTCAAACGCAAATTGTCCCAATTATCAATCTTCGTCTTCGCCGTATACAAATATCCACAACATGTCCGAAGACCAAATCATCCGAGTCGTGGAAGTGCTTGGGAAAATCTTAGATGACGTCAAGGTTGACATACAGGGAACAGTAATTAACACTACGGGTATGTGTAAACTACAATTTATCACACAATCGCGCTTAATCCTTGTATCGCATGACGATAATTACTTTGATCACTTTGTCACTCCGAGTCTGATGTGTTCCCCCCAATCAAATACAATTTATATTGCCGTGTGTATAGAAAGAGACTTTATTATTCGAATAGTATATTTAATTGCCAAGCTTTCCAACTTTTTGTTTAATGGCTAAATGACGTCATTTAGTGTTAGTCTATATCTTTTCATGATAAAAAACTGAATGGGAAATGGATCTCGCAATTATAGACTATAAATGCGTGGGGTATTATTATCCAATCATCAACACGTCACTGATACCCCCCTTTCGTTCTAATTCATGGCTTACAGATATCGATGAGATTATTCCTCAGTCCTTTCTCGACGAATTTAACAAGCTTCTGAATGATTCTCCCATATCTCACCAAGATATAGCAAAACCGGCAGTCATAAAATCTGTATCTCAACTTCGCCATTATTTACGTGATGATGCCTCCATTTCGCAAACGACGGAAATTTATCGTTGCGTTTTTAATTTCTGTTGCCAAATGACTGCTTTCCTAACAGTTGCTCAAATGTTCTTCGAAATAGTTGCAAAGGAACTATTATGCGACAATGCTGATGATGTATTTGCCAAGCGTCGCATGGAAGGCTTTATGAACATTTTTCAAGACGATGATAACGTATTTATACATCAAGCGAACAATAATGGCAATTACCACGTCTTGGAAGGATTTATCTGGTATTATCAACTAATTCACCCGCGCGGTGATCGTTGCCATGATCTATCGCTCAGATTACGTTCTCTTGCTATTCGCTTTGCAACTTCCTCTTCCATCGAGGCTATCCTATCGATGTTTTATACAAAATACTTTTTGAACGTTTTTGCAAAAGAACATCAAAAAGATCATGGTCAATTTTATACGCCGAGAGAAGTCATGAAATTTATGTGGGATCGAGCATTATTCGGGAAAGGAACCGGAACTGAAATCGACAAGCTGCTTGGATTCTATCCTCAAAATTGTAACGGACATGATCACGATGGTTCATCTTCATGCGGTCACCTACCTGACGTGCCTAGTGTCTTGGACCCATGCATGGGCGTCGGTTCATTCCTATGCGAGTTTATAAATCGTCTTATTAATGCAGCTCAGCAAACTCCTTCAGTTTGGAACAATCCTAGGGCACTCGTCCATTTAATTCAGTCAATCGCTAAGAAGATTTGGGGAATAGAGATTGATGGTTTTGCCTTCCACCTGGCCAAGCTCAACATAGCAATACACATCATACCATTATACAAGCGCCTCTTGTGGTTTCCCACGTCAATACCTTTCAAGCTGCCCCCTCTGCAGCTATTCTGTAACGATACTCTGAATCTCTACCTCCCGAAAGCAATCAACTCGTGGGAATATAAATGCCTAAGCCTACTACGCTCGCCGCAGAAACTAAAGTTTGATTATATAGTCACTAACCCCCCGTATATGATAAGAAAAACCGGGTTTATATCTGAACCAGACAGTGAATTGTTTGACGAACGAATACTTGGCAAAGGTGGTATGCAAGCCTATGCATATTTCTTCTGGTTCTGCGTCGAAAGGTGTAAAGAAGAGGACGGCGAGATGTGCTTAATAAGTGGTGAGCAAACTTTCTGTTTCTACACGTGATTATACGCGGCCCGCAAGCTCAGCTGTATCGGGCTAGACTGATTTCTAAATAAAACATTTTTAACCTTGGACACGTGATTAATTTTTCACAAAATATAGCGAGTCAGTGGATGGGACTAGAATTCGCCGACAAGCTCAGGTACCTTTTTCTTTTAGTAAAGAAGGCTTATTTGTCCTAAACTATTTCTGACAATTCGTCCTTTCGGTTGATTTGTAGGGCTTGGATTTGGCAGCAATGTCATCTGATAGAATTTTTCCAGTTTGAGCCATTCAAAGTATGGCGGAAAATCCAAACGGACTCGCTCATATTTCGTCTTCGTCGACGAAAAGTTCCCATTAATCCCAATTGCAGCAATCCAATTCCCGATTCTCACTCATCAAACCCAGTGTGTTTCCTAAGATACATGAATCGAAAAGCAACCCTGCAGGAAACTTTGAAGGCATACTCAGAGTTTAATCCAAAAAATCCTGACAACACCGACATGCATTACAAGCTTACAGATCCACACCCGAAAACTATACTTCCATTAAAAACGAGTTCCTTTTCCTTTACGTTTTTAATGCCTACATCTGCCGTAAGTGAATGGCTGCATTCACGAACATCAAATTTGCCTTCCTTGTGTGATCATTCAAGCCTCAAATCCACGTGGCAAGAACAGAATCCATTAATCTGGCATCGAGGTCCTAATACAACTCCTGTCTATGCTTTGGTGGTGCGCACCGCATGGGCACATTCTAAATTTGGCCCTGCCGTCTGTCAGAGATGGCTGAGACCCGTTTTTTATTGGAACGGCAAGAACGGAGGAAAAGAAGCCGAATTCTGGCAGAAAATGGGAGATGAATTAAGATTAGAAAAAAAGGAAAATTCGCCCGCAGAGGCTTATGTGCCGTTTTTGGCATCAAAGCAGAAGGCATTGAGAGAAAAGGCGGGATATTCGTTAATCATGGTAGACCGAGAGGGAGTAGATAAGGTGCGAGAAGAATTTGGAGAGGAAAGCGAGTTTTGGAAGTTTTTAAGAGAAGCGAGAAAGCATCTGCAGACAAACATGAATTCGAGAGAGATAGTTTTCTGTGGTACCAGCAAATGCGGGTAAGCTGGCTCTACTTTTTTGATACCTTTCAGAAGAATACTAGTCACGATCATTTATAATAATACAAAGTTTTCAAATCAGAGACTATCGTGTTCGTTTCTGTTAAAGCACGAGTGGTAGAACAGACTATTAACTTCCATTTTCTTTGACATATGTTTATTCTCGTAGTGTGGATATCAAAACAAAAATCATACATCCGATAAATTATGGATATTTTACGAAAAACCAGGTGAGTTTACATAGTTTTAACATTGAAGAGTTTTATAAATCATAGAGACACAAAATACTCTTGTCTGAATATTCATAAGCTTACAAAACGCAGAGTTCCTTGTCTTGTTTACGACACAGAACCATGTCTACATATACGTTATCTTAATCTTGTGCTAAAAATAATTGTTTTTCTTATCACACTAGCCGCGCCAACGGTTTTTCGTAGACGAAGACAGTGTTTGCGTAACAAATCAGGTAAATATAAAAACATAAAGGGGAGGTGGAAGGGACGTGCGAATGTTTACATATAATGAACATATGACGAACATGAGCGCCCCATTTCATATAATATCCTCTGATCGTTGATCTCATAACATATCCGTATCATGCTCGACTTACTAACGGGACGTAAAACTATAGTGTATATATTTTACGGTAAAGGCCACTACTGGCCTTTCGCCATACTTTTTCCTTGGGCTGTTGAACTCGACAACGATTCAACACTTCTTGGCGCACCATTGCAAATATGATCAGCAAGGCCGCATGAGACTGTTTCGTGAAAGTATGGCTAAAATTCCGTATGCACCACCCACGGACTTAAGTACCGTAGAATGGTTTGTAGAATGTGTGCGTAAAATGGTTCGGGTACGTCGGATGTTGTTTGAGGGATTGGCTTATTGTGATGATGCGGATAAAGTAGGAAGCACTATAATAGAGAATTTGCGGCGTGGGACGTGGTTGTTGACTGGGAGAGAATGGGAGAAAGAACGGTCAGAGGAGACGGATGGGAATAGAGTAGTTTTAACGGAAGAAAAAGAGGGGAATTGGGTAACTGTAAAAAAGCGTCGTGGGCATGGTGATGGGGTGGAATACTCGATGTATCCAGAGTCGACAGGTCGCGACGAAGTAATGGTTTGTGAGATAGCTCTACCACGAGCAACTACCATTACCACTCAACGAATATTCAGGAACACCTGCATGACCAAGACGCAAAGCATGCGGCATTTCTTCGAATCACTATTATACGCGTCGGCATGCCTTCAATACGCAATCGACCAGTACACTTACTCGCTGTACGGTATCGAGGCGACAGCTCAGGAATCATTGGAAGCAGAATTAAAATTAGAAGTACCTGAGGGGGTTACCGAAAGTCGTCCACGTTGGAACGGTGTTAGTGGAAATCATACAGGACGCCTCGGTAATGTCGTCGTCAGAGGATATTTGCCGGCTTGGAGCGACCAGCTATTCAGAGAAGTCAATCAGACGATCAAAGAAGGTCAATTGACGTTAGCAGAAAAAAAAAGAGCGACTTGAACATTAGAAAGGGGTCTCATATTCGGTTAAGAAACTGAAGGACGGATTGTGGCAATGTGGGCTTTTTGTTTTGTTTTAGTCGTAACCCCCGCACTTACTGCTGCACAATACCCCTGTGCTTTCATGCAAGAAATAATGATAGAATGTCTTTTGGATAAGTCGGCGTTTGTTCGGACCTCTTTTGGTTATCGCCTTCTGGCAGCAGTTTTACTTGGATAGAATATATTGTCGCAAGCAATAACATATGCAGGCTAATCTAGGGTGCATTTAATTAAGGAACTTTAATTGGTGATAAGTCACTTAAAAACTGATCTCAGTTTATAGTTTTATATGCGTCTGTAAAAGTTGAAGTTGGTTTTACTGATATGCTCTATGCATCTCTCTGATCAAACAACGGATAAGATCGAGAACAAAGAACGAAATACTCCACCCTTGGGGGCCCACTCTATTGTTTAGAAGAGACATATGATTTTTTTTCTTTCAAAAGCAAGCAATGACAATGGTCGATATTTTCGGAAACACTTGGAATGTAAAGTTTATGCCGATCCGGCATAATGTTATATAAATAAAGCAATAAAAACAATTTAACCTTAAAGTTATATGAAAGCTTTTTGCGAAACAAAGGCTGAAGCTTCGAGATGCAAATCGTGTGCATGCAGACTATCAGCAGCTGCAGCCGAATCTTTACGATATTCATGTAATATGCGAAATCAAAAGTATCACCTCCTGCCGAGGAGCATCCGATTTGTCGTAAACTTGGAGAGTCGTGTCGCGCGCAATTAAATTTATGATACATGTCTACGAAATAGCTATGGTTATTCTAACTCTTAATGCCCAATGAATACATATTATATATAATAAATAACCAGCGCTTTGATAACTTTGCCCTCGGAATGGCGCATTCCTGATGATTGATTTGGGTTGTTCCAAAAACGCACATCCCTTTGTCATGTAGAGAAACCATTTCTGGCCACTATGTCTAAAAATAGATCGATACATCATTTATTCAAGATGAATAAAGACTGATATTATCTTTATCGAAAAGTAAAATTATATGTACATGTGTATAATATGCGCGGAACATTCGGGGAATCCAAAGGTACATATCTTGTATCGTTCCGTTAGTAAGGATGAAATCAGTCTGCGTAAAAATCCTGCTCTTGCATTCGACAGTCGTTGTGTTTGTCATCGATAGCATTCACTTAGTCATCATCCTTGTGGCTAGGTACAGAAGCACGCAGCATCCTGCTTATTCACCCTTAGATCAGACAGGGAACTGTCATCGGCAACAACGAGTTGTCAAGCTGCCATGCAGGAACGCCAAAGAAATTGTGACATGGAACAATGAGAGAGATACTCAAGCAGGTTCCGGCAATATTTCTTGGCATCGAAATTAAATAGATGGTACAAGATCAGGGTTCTCATCTAGGTTCAAAGAGTCATAAGATCATTCATGTACGAGCAGTCGAACAGCGAATAGAAAAAAGATAAGCTCATGATCAGAACAGCTATCGATACGAAAACATTGCGGTATGATAATCAAACAAATGCCGACACTGCAGGACACGGTGTGAAAGACAGAATAGAATGTAATTAATTGTACGTGTATTCGCTGGATCTCCACTTTTATGCAACATCAAAAAAATGGTATTTGTGTTCGCTTATTATGGTAATGAATTGCAACAATGACGGACCCAGAATCGAGCATCCTTTTATGGCTCTACCCGTTGGTAAGGAATTCATCATCGTTGATCCGATATACGTTATTCTTCCAAAGACCTCCATAGGACTAGCACATGTGTGTGCGTGTTTCAATCTTATACCGAGAATGCTATTAGAAAAAGTTTTCCAAGCGACGGTTCTCATTATTAGCACCGGTCTGGTTTCTGGTATAGAACAAATGCTAGTAATATTTTGGGGCGCCTGGGCTTTTAAAGTTTCAATTGGTTTGATTGTCTGTTGCTTTTTCGTTTTGACCTTTCGAGTTGTTTACGT